AAGGTTGCGGTGTGTTCCAGCCGCTCGAGCTGCTTGATCAGCCAAGTGTTTACGTCTTGAGATGGCATCTTGTTTTCCTGTGTGAGCTTTAGTATATATTACCGCTAAAGCTGTTGGCGATTGAATCGCTTCCAGTAAATCTTTAATCTGCTTTCCGTGAGCAGTGCAAATCCTCTCTCTTTCCAAAGGGCACCTGTTGCATGACACACTCCAAAAGCATATTTTGAGTCAGTATAAATATTCACTTTTTTTCCTTTTGCGTACCTGGCTGCTTCTGTCGGTGAGACAACTTCCACACCTTGTGCCCCCAAAGACAAAGGTAAAGGTCCAGCAATCAATACTGTTGTCTCTGTCATCACCGCAAAACACACCATCCATCGTCCTTTATCATAATATGATGATCCATCCATAAAAAGACTCATCTCCGGGTCATCAAGTGGTTGATCTGTTATGTCATCTCGAGACTTGCCAGTAAAGGTTAAAATTTGCTGCGTATCTTTTTCACCATCAGTTGGCAAAGGTAACCGTGTGGTAGGGTTAAGCGTGTTGCACCTTTCCAATTTCAAATTGTCAGCTAATAGTAACACCAGTTCATAACGATGTGCCCTTTGGGCTGAAAGTGACTTCTCAGCATGTTGTTTTAACAAAATATCCACCTCATGGGGTACGCATACGATTAGTGCGTGTCCTAAAACGATTGACCTAGATTTTTCTACCATCTCAGCTGCAGCTGCAATTGCCCTGATACAAAACGGAGTTGCTTTAACTACAAGATCTAAAGTAGCTGAAAAATAAGCTACTGGTCTTTCATGAGGCCCTAAAGTCTGGACTAAAACTCCTCTGGCTGTTCCCTTTTATCTCATGACAATAGAGTTTAAAGGGTTTGGTGTAATCAGGGAGTCCTAATGCTGGGGTGTTCAACAGGGCACTTTTTAGTGTCCGAAAAGCTTTATGTCTTTCAGATCCCCATGCTGTAGGTTCCACCTCCTCATTCCTAGTTGCTTCATGCAACGGTTTTGCTATTTCACTGAATCTGGGAATCCAAGGTCTGCAAAATCCAACTTGCCCTAAAAATACCCTTAACTTAATACCTGCTTCTTAGTGGTAGGTCTTGGCGGTTCCTGTATTATTTTAACTCTTTCAGGATCAATTTCTCTTTTTCCTGGACTTAATAAAAATCCCAGTTACTTTACCTTAGTCTGGCAAAGTTGCAGTTTGAATGGAGAAACTCAATGACCCTTCTGTACCAATTGACAACACAAGTATTTAGTATCACGTATACAATTTTCTTTTGTCTTACAGGTAAAAGATCATCTGCATATTGTACAAGAACAGACAAACAGGGAAAATTTAAATCTTGTAAAT